TTTTCCCTTTTGAAAAATGGGGGTTATGTTTCCCCTTTTCCAGTCAGTGGGAACTTCACCGGACTGCCATGACTTCTCAAATATGATGGATAGTAGCTTAGCAACTTCATCTGCCAGTTCCTTCAGGACCCGCGGATGGATCTCATCGGGTCCCATGGACTTGTGAATATCTAGCTAACCTTCAGTTAAGGAAGCTGTAATTTCCTTTGCAAGTCCATTCCCTTTTATTTTTTTGAACCCCCACTTGTCATATGCACACTTTCTTCAGTTCGATTTTTCTCTCTTCTACAGCAGAAGTACAGTATTGTTCACTCCACCCTGTATTTTAGTGCCTCTGATTGTTCTCGCTTCCTCATGCCCTCTTTAGTCTGCTTCTCTCTTCCCATATCGGATGGTGCTGGAAATGGTCAAATTTCCCCTCAGCTCTTTAGTGTTAGCTTTAGTGGAAACGGAGAAAAAGCCATCTTAAGTTAAAGAATATAGAAAATATAGGGATATGGCTGGTATTGCAAATAAAGGCTAAAAAAAACTGAATTTGAGTAAAACTGGAAGTTTTCATGGTGCTCTGAAAGTACTATCTTGGTTATACTGGCTTTCCATGTGGGATTTCTCCCATTCAAACTAGTGTAACAAGTAAAAGTTACTGCTTGTGCTACTGCAGGGACTGGATTGAGTAGATAATAGTTGTCAGGGTGTGCTGTGCCAGCATAGGAAGTTGCAAAGCTAATTGCATAGTAATTTACAGTTGCTAGCAGTGTTTGGAGGTTCCTATTCAACAGACACATGCTGTACATATATTTATAGCATGCTTAAGTTTCTGGAGGTGAACTTTGTAAAATGGAATGAACATATGTTGAATGGATTATTTTTATCTTCTAGTGTAAGGTTTTTCTTTGTCAGGCAAATTTAAAAGCTTCCTTAGAGGCTATCAGTGACAAAATCTTGTATGTCAGTTTGTAAATATGAAAAAGCAGGTGAATGTTGTAATAGTATTAATTTCACCTGAAGGCAACTTATTTTAAGCTGAGCACTATTTCAGTAGTAACCAAGTAGTGCGTGGAATTGCTTGCCAACGTTCGCAAGTGTGGTACAAAATGTTTTACACATTCTTCTACTTTTTTGCACGTGTTTTTGTTTCGAACCTATTAAAACTGCTATTTTACTTCAACATTTAATTGTGAATAACCAGTTTTTCTTTCCAGTCCTTCCATTTCTTGTCTGAACAGATGTAAAGTATATCCACTCATTCACATAGGAGCAGTGTTCCAAAATATCATGGTGTTAGAGCACCACCTGTAGGGTTTGCTCAAAATTAAAACAAGAGAGTTTCCAGGTTATAGTTGAATATCCAAATAAAATAATATCTTTCTGTGTTTTGAGACTTTTTTTGTCCCTGGATATTAGGACAGGTCCTATGTTCTATAGCCAAAGTATGTTAATACTTAACTGTGCAGCATGAATGAAGTGCTAATAAGAAACATGTGAAAAACTATTTAAAGCAATGTTTTCTTACAGCTGTACATGAAAACAGTAAATTTACTGAGTTTTATTTTTGTTTCTAGAGTTCTATATTTAAGCTAATACAGAGAATGCAGGCATATGCCAGCATTTTTGTCTTTTAATCCTTTTAAAACTATTTTTAGAAATGTATTTGTTGTTCCATATAGAAATATCTTTAAGTAGTAATAACCATTTAAGAACATAACTTTATATTGTATTAGAACTAGTCAATAATTTTAGGTCCCTGTAGTCTTGAAAAATGATCTTAAAAGCTCAATTGTGGATTAAAATAGAAAAAAATTAATAACCTGTTTACAAATTACATTATTACAACTTTTGCACTATTACAGATGCAGTTCATTCTTCATCGCGTTTGTTCACTGCATCAGTTCTGACTTGTTATTTTAACCAAATACATATTCAAAATTTTAAAAATTCTAAAAGCTTTTGATCATCAGACAATAATGAAAATGCCTCCTCATTTGTAATAGTTCTTGTGTTTAAACTACTGTGCGTAACTGATTGTGCTACCAGTAAACTTCGAGAGCCCACAAGTTTTGGTCTAGCAGTGAGGAAATTGTAAAATAAAAGCACAGAGGGCAATTATTTTTAATGTGTTTTCAGACCTCTGAGACTTCCTCATAATTTCAGGCTCTGTAGCGAGTGTGTCCTGGACTTCCTATTTATGTGAAGGTTGTGAATATGCTATATGACAGGTGTTGGATATAAGGCTGCTAAAGGGGGGGAAAAAAAAGCAAAACAAAACCACAAAACTAATAAGTACATTACTTGAAATAAAATCAGCAGGGCTGAGAACACTCCAGTGAAAGGAACAAGCAACTGAGTTAAGGCCAATACAGAAAGCTACACCTATAATAAAGTAAGAATACAAACGGCTGAGTTACTTCAGTTGCATAGAGTCAGACCTATAAATACAAGCTTTCTAGTCCATTATCAGAAATGTAGTTACACAAGTCCCTTTTAAGAATAATCTCTTGTAAACCTAACTTTTAATATCTATAAATGAAGTGTGCTGCAGTAAGTGCGCTTTGCCTTCAAAGCGTTAGAATCATGTGTATGAAGATCATTTCCATGCCAAGGCCTGGAAGGGGGTATTTAAATGATGGCCAGGCACTGAGTCTTCCTAAGACAGGAAATTTCAACTACTTGGTTATTTTTCTTTAATTTATTTTTCACCTTCTACTGCATTTTTCAGTATAAGGTGTAAATGCGTAGTTAAATTGAACTGAGTCTTTGTGAAGGCTAAAAATAAAATTAGGAAATACAAAGTCTTTCACATTACTAATAAAGTTGTCAAAGTCTGTATAGAGTAATCTTTTTTTCAATCTGTAGTACTAATTGACATTAGTATAAACTTCTGCACTGGCAACATTGGAAAACATCTTTTGGCTGACATGTTGACGTTGTTTTTATTGCTACTCAGTGGGATATTTTCCCTGATATTTTGATTGATTTTTTTTTTGTCCTACAGGCTTTTAAAAAAAGTGGCATTAATCACGTTGCTTTCAATATATATGTATTTTTTAGCTTGTGGAGATATTCCAGAACAAATTCGATCACCAAGCGGGACAATCACAAGTCCAGGGTGGCCCTCTGAGTATCCTGCCCGAATCAACTGTAGCTGGTACATCCATGCAAACCCAGGGGAGATTATTACTATAAGGTAACAGTGCTGCTGTATTGACTACATGGATTGAAGAAGTACTGACTAGACATTTTTAACTGCCAATTGTGTATGTACCAATTTCCTCTTCCTTCCTGTAAATGTAGGATTTCTGTTTTGTTTGTTTTCTGCCTTTCCTTTTTTCTGATTTGCTCTTCCACAGCCATGTAGCATTTGTTTTCAGCTGGAGAGTTGGTGACTAGAAAAACTTTCTATGTGCTCATTTACTTGATTTCTTTTTAATGTCTATGAAATATAAGAATTTTGCATTAAAAAATGTGTAGGGGAAATTCTGTAATGCTTCATTGCTATGAAGTCTCATGGTGGCAGGGTATAAATAGTAAATCAATAGATATGATTGCAGTTTTGGAAATGCTGACTTTTGGTGCAGGGAGCTCCTCACAGTTTCATGTACCTTATAACTTTTCTAAAGAAGTAATGTAAAAAAGTTGTGTCATAGGTTCAAGTTCTCATGAGTTCATTCCCCATTACTGCCACAAGGGAAATCTAGGCTTGTTTTAGCATCAAGATACAAATTAGTTCTGTTTCGCAGGCTGATCATGAAACTGCATCAGTTACAGATTTACTTCGGTTTCCAGTACAGACCTGCTGACTTAAGAAGCAGCTCTTTGTTATGAAGTATTTGCTTTGACATCAGTTACTCTTTTAAAGTACTGCTTTTTAATTTAAACAGTCTTTCTACTAAATACTAAACTGGCATAAATGCAATGCAAAGTAGGTAGAGCTGTTCATCTACTAGAAGGCTTTCTAAACTTTTTCATACAGTTTATTTTTCATAAAACTCCTTCTTTTTTCTGTCACATTGTTTCCTTCCACTCATCGACCTAGCATACATTTCACATTTCATTTCTGGTTTACTGCTGTGTTGTCTGTACTGACCTGTTTTGCCCAGACTGTCTCCCCTTCACGCTTCATTACCATGGCAGCATGTCGTGATATAGCTGTAGCCATACCATGACATACCCATTGGGTAACCGAGTAGTGCAACTGGGAGCAAATCTTACCTGAAATAATATTTTTGAACAATTTAGCTGTATTTGTAATGTCAAGTCATATAATTGTCTAAGTGTAACATTAGCTAAAGTTCTGATGAAATTTGGGTTAAATAAAACCACTTGGTAGTATATGAAAGTCATTAAATGAGACTCATCAAGACAATTCCATTAACAGAAATATTTATTTATTTTAAGATGAAGTCTTAATGTGTTTTGTATAGCAAAGCTGAGCTTCTTTAAGTAGTGGATGCGGTATTTTGGTTAACAGAATGGATTCTTGCTGTCCTAATAAAAGTATCATCACCACAAGGTTAAATCCTATTCTTACATGGGTAGAGAAGCTGCTGTTTTTATTTCAGACCAGAAGAGAACTTACAGCTAATTTCCATTTTTGTGTAGCAATTCATCAGCTTGGTTGTGCATTATCCAGTTCAGTAGCAATTTTGACCTCTTTTTTTCCTCCTCCCCCCCCTTTTTCAAGATTTTGATGTTCAGGGATCACGACGATGCAGCTCAGATTGGTTAACAATTGGAAGCTACAAGAATATTGAAGGCTATAGAGCATGCGGCTCCTCCATTCCTTCACCATACATCTCTTCACAGGATCATGTTTGGATCAGATTTCATTCAGATGATAGCATCTCCAGAAAAGGCTTCAGATTAGCCTACTTTGCTGGTACGTGTCACATGATACCTAGTTCAGTTTGATGGTTTCATTTTTTTGTTTCCTGTTTCAAGATCTACTTCCTTGTAGCAGGGTACAGTATATGCATTTCCTGTTGTCGATTCAAGGCTTAATGAAAGTATACATTGTGTAGATTATTTTGATCCGATGCACAACTTGACTATTCAAAGCAGGAATTAGTGTTCACAGTAATAAGCAGAGTGAATGGTTGCAGGGGGTGGGGTGGAAGTTCACTATTAATACTAGGCAACTCAGGAGGATTTTTAGCGTAGCTTAAGATTTGAATTTTTTTTGTCAGAATAAAATTAGTTGTTAAAATAGTTGGGTGGACTTCTGAGTAGCATAAACAGGGCGAGAGAAGGAAGAAACAGTGGGATTTTTTTTTTACATTTGCATCATTTTTTCCCATCTCCAGAAGATATACTCTCTTTTTAAAAAAAAAAAAAAACCACCACAACTTAAAAACCTCTTAACATGATAAATTACTCTAGCCAAGTATAGACATGGTTTTGTACATGCAAAATTTTTCTTGGATAATTCAAGTATGCAGTATAAGTATTTTCCAGTAGTAATAGTTTGAGACTGTTTTGTGGGCAATTCTTGCTCTAGTAGCTGTTGCCAAGAGAGAGGAGGAAGACAGTCATGGGTAAAGACTAGCTCCAGACTTTTTTCTGGCCTTAAGCAATATTAGGATTTTATATAATAGCATGATCATGGTCTTCTATGTCCTGATAATCAAAAATACTCGATTAGATTCCTCTTTATCTTCATAATGGTTTCGCGTTCTCTTGCTTCCTCAGTGTATGCCTATACTCCACCCTCTGACCTGCTCCAAATCTCTGTGCGCTTTTAACTACTCTCCTCCATAAAACAATTCATACTCTTACACCTATCCACTGCCATTCATCTTCAAAACTATTCCACCAAGATTCAGTAAAATGAGCCCTGATCTCCTCTAGCCTAAGCCATGTTTGCCCATTCTGTGTTCTGCACTCTTTCTACCTAGTGGCTTCCTCCACCCTGTCAGTCCTTCACAAACCTGAAGTTTCCAGGCAGGCTTATCCCTTTCTATTGCCTGTTTTCAAGCCTACAAAAAAGTTCCCTCTACGCTTCAGCCCCTTGCAGCTTAGCAAGTCTTGGGAGAAGTAATGCAGCCTTGCATGTGATGCTGGCTCAGCTTTCAGGGCAGTGTTCTACCTAGGTTTTGCTTACTGTCTCACCAAAAAGCATGATGGGGGAAAAAAAAGCCACTGTCTATCAGTCATCCTCTTCTATTGTTTCTGACAACTGCCCATGCACACGCTATTATCCTGTGTGGGGCACTGGCTTCTGCCCTGCTTATCTCCCTCTCCTTGTAGGCACAGAGGGAAGGCATTGTTCCTGCCCGAGGGGCTTTGAGAAGGAAGGACATTTTGGATAAGGGTGTGGAACAGGCAGAGGCAGCAAGCCACAGGCTCAGTAGGCTTTTTCTGAAAATCCTTTCCTCTTTTCCTCTGATCTTGAAACAATTTCAGTATGTAACCCCTTTTGAAAGAAGCTGTAACATTTTCAACAATAAGCATTTTTTACTGCTACATGATTTCTTCTTGTTAGCATCATGCAGTGGTACTTAGAGTACTCCGATATTTTTAAATATCTTTAAAAAAATATATTTGTCTGGGGGTTTTTTGTGTGTGCTTGTGGGTTGTGGGGTTTTTTGGGTGTTTTGCTTTTTTTTTTTATAAACCTTGCTGAAACTTTGGTTTGCGCTTGGTCTCTATGCTTGATATGATACTTAAGTATTCCATGATTGAGGTGGAAGTGTAGTGTTTCAGTGACCAGAGTAGTCTTCTAATGTTGTAAACTGACCTGCGTACAGGAGAAGAGTTAAGTCTGCTTTAATAATCATCTGATCATTTCTGCTTTCCAGTGTGAAAAGGAGACTCCTGAAATACTAACAACATTTTTGTTATACATTCAACTGTGCCATTATGTTGTTTGATTTCTTCTCATTAGCATCATGCAGTAGTGCTCAGTTTAACTCCTCAATAGACTATTTAATTAAAAGTTGTTAAGGCTACTCTCAAAGGTGGCATGTGATCTTAGAAAAAGGGGAAAAAATAGTAATACTTCAGTTACATGGATGCAAGTTAGGCCTACTTGTGCTGGAATGATAGAAACAATATAGATTACAGGTGTAAAGGGGACCATTAGGGAGCCCGATGTTTAAAATCTGATGTGGAAGATAGGCCATGTGAATTGTTTGAATTAAACAAGAATTAAAGCAAATAATATCTTCCAGGTAAATATTCATATTTCATTTTAAATAAACAACAACCAAAAAAAAGCATTATATTTACGAAGGGTACTTGACCAGAAGGTAAATTTTGTCTCACTTGTCTTTCTTTCCTCTGTCTTCCTCCCACCCCTTTCAGTTTATCAGCCTCTTTAATTATGGGTATCAAAATGGGATGGAGTTTACTAATAGTGATGTAGAGTGGAAAATAGAGTTAATAAAAGTACAGAGGTTTATGTTCTCTGTAAATGCATGGAAGGATTGTGTAAATTCTTTGGCTACAACTGCACATGGGTTCTGCTAATCATCTTGTACTATCCTGATGTCTTTTGTGGTACAGCTTCCAAGGATAGTCTTATTTTGTACATCTCTTATTATTTTACGACTCTAATTTTTGATTCAGATGTAAACTTCCCTGATGTAATGACTTCAGGATCTGTGATTAAAAATCCTAAATCAGGATCAAGTAGGCAGCTCTTTTCTGGGATGTTTAAAAGCCTGCAGAAGGAAGAACTTAGATTGAAATCATATCCTGTTTTGTCACTACAATATTGCCATTAATATTTACAGCTCCATGTTATAGCTTTCTACTCATCCTTTTTCCAGGTTCTGCAAGGTAGAAGCATTGAGCTAGAGTATAATCAGTACTTGAGCAAGTTCAATGACTCTTCTTATGCATATTCTACTATATTGTCTGCCACCTATGGGGCACAGTCATTCAATTTAGGCAGAACAAGTCTAGAAACTTTTACAGGTTTCAAATTCAAGGCCAAGGTTCATACTAAGTATTTGCCATACTAATGTTATGAACGATGTGTATGTGTGTGAGTGTATAATATACATAAAAATACACATATATATGTAACAGAACAAGAAGATCATATCATTTATACTAGATCTGTTCTTTGTTTTTTTTCTTATTGAAATAAACATTTTCTAAAACTTAATCACTGGCAGCACATACGTTTTGCTCTCCTTTCACACTCTGTCAGCAAATTTGTTGACTTAAACACTCTTCAGCAGTGCTTACAACATTTATCACTCTTGTTGGTTTCATTTTTTCCTGCATTCATTTTTTAAAAACCTTAGCACGTGTGAAATTTTTAAAATGCGCTGATATTGCACCTTTTAAAAAAAAAAAATCAAGGTAGAGTATTTCTTTTTAATACTTCTTAAGATACTAAAATGGCAAAAAGGAGAACAGAGGTGTGATACGACTTGACCTGTCACAGCAGATGAGTTGCAGCAAGGGAAATTCAGGCTAGATATGAGGACTTCTATCACTTTGTCTGGTTAAGCACTGGAACTTTGAAAATACTTGATTGGACAAGGCCCCGAACAACCCAATCAAACTTCAGTTAGCCTTACTTTGAGCAGATGATTGATTAGGTGACCTCCAGAGATCCCTTCCAATCTGAATGTTCTGTTGTAAAGCAAGACAGAACCTGCTTCTTCTGGGAAAGTCTGTATTTCAGTAAGTTCATCATGCTGTCTTTCCTGTTTCTTTTTTAAAACCCTAAGTATAGTGTTATATAGATTTAGTATATATTTGTCTAATTTAGTTCCTGAATTACTGCTGTGTAGGACCATCTGCATTGCAGATTTTTTTTTTGAAATTTTTTTTGAGGATTGACCACGACAGTTTTTTTTACAGCCATTTTTATAGTCTGTACCGTGGTTTTTAGAAATTGCAATGATTTTAAATGATATAGTGGTATTTGACTCAGCTAAGTCATTACAGAGCTGAAATAGCTTGCTTCCCAGGTATGCTTCAGTGTTTAACATGGTTGGAACTTTAATAAATTAATCCCTGAAAAAAAAGTCTTGATTTTACAAGTGTGGTAGTAGCCAGTAGACCACATATTCTTAAATAAACGTGTCTCTTGACTTTTTTTCCAGAATTAAAAAAAAACAAACAAAACCCCCCAAGCCCCCACACTTCCATGTTTTCTGGAACACTACTTGGATCCTTAACTTTTTTAAGGATTTTAAAGCGTAATTTTGGATGTTTTTTTATGTTTTAAGTATGTGTTTCTGCATTTGCTGCACTCTCCTCTTAGTTGCTGGAGGAGAGGCAGGAGCAAACAGTGGGAAGAGGTGAGGAGAGAGGTTTCTCTTTGGTTGGTAGTAATAGGTAATCTTCAACTGTCAGCTTCTCTCTTGCCATAGATTCTTTGGTACAAAGTAGGAACCTACAAAAAGAGGAGAGAGGTCTGACTGCTTTTACAAGAAAGAATTTAAGGAGGTAAACGGTACTGCAGGACAACATGTTTCTGTATTTCGAGTAATATAGAGGAGAGAAACAGTATTTTTCTGACTTACTTTTAGCACCTTAGAAGCCAGATTTTTTCAATGAGTATTGTTTTCTTGCTTCGGTTAAAGCTATTTGACTGAAAGCAGCTAAGGATGAGGCTCATGCTGATATGCTGACAGAATTTCAACTTGAAAAAACTGTTTTATCTTGAAACTTACTGAAAGTTGTGATGACTTACAGAGAATTTAAGTAGTTGTTTTGCCATTCTGAACTACCTGGTTCAGCAAATAAATATGCAACACAAACCATAAAGTGCTAAATTCTAAAAAGATAATGTTATAATTTCTTTTTTTCTTTGCAGGGAAATCTGATGAACCAAATTGTGATTGTGACCAGTTTCATTGCGCTAATGGGAAGTGTATTCCAGAAAGTTGGAAATGTAATAATATGGATGAATGTGGAGACAACTCAGACGAAGAAATCTGTGCCAAAGCTAATCCTCCAACAGCTTCTTCCTTTCAACCTTGTGCCTGCAATCAGTTCCAGTGTCTTTCTCGCTTCACCAAGCTTTACACTTGCCTTCCAGAATCTTTAAAATGTGACGGTAACATTGATTGTCTTGACCTAGGAGACGAAATAGACTGTGATGTGCCAACATGTGGGCAGTGGTTAAAATACTTTTATGGTACTTTCAGTTCTCCCAACTATCCTGACTTCTATCCACCTGGAAGCAACTGCACCTGGCTGATAGACACTGGTGACCATCGCAAAGTAATTTTGCGATTCACTGATTTTAAACTTGATGGTACAGGTTATGGAGACTATGTCAAAATATACGATGGATTAGAGGAGAATCCACGGAGGCTGTTGCGCGTGCTAACAGCATTTGACACTCATGCTCCCCTCACAGTCGTTTCATCCTCAGGACAGATAAGAGTGCATTTTTGTGCTGACAAAGTGAATGCTGCAAGAGGATTTAATGCCACCTATCAAGTAGATGGCTTCTGTTTGCCGTGGGAAATTCCATGTGGTGGGAATTGGGGTTGCTACACAGAGCAGCAACGCTGCGATGGCTACTGGCACTGTCCAAATGGAAGGGATGAAACCAACTGCACCATGTGCCAAAGAGATGAGTTCCCCTGCTCTCGAAATGGTGTTTGCTACCCGCGTTCAGATCGCTGCAACTACCAGAATCATTGCCCTAATGGTTCAGATGAAAAAAATTGTTTCTTCTGTCAGCCAGGAAATTTTCATTGTAAAAATAACCGCTGTGTGTTTGAGAGCTGGGTTTGTGATTCTCAAGATGACTGTGGTGATGGCAGTGATGAAGAGAATTGCCCAGTCATTGTGCCCACTAGAGTAATAACTGCAGCTGTCATTGGGAGTCTTATTTGTGGATTGCTGCTTGTCATTGCACTGGGATGTACTTGTAAATTGTACTCACTCAGGATGTTTGAGCGAAGGTAAGTAGAACAGATGGCCTCAAGAACTTAAATTTTTAAAATGTTTTCATATCTTTTATTGTTATACTTGAAACATTTTTATTGATACACAGTTATTGTTGCATGTGATTTCTAAAGGCATTGTTCCTCTTCTTCTTTGGTAGTAAAAATAGATTAGTTAATCATAGACTCACAGAATATCTCAAATTGGAAGGGACCCATAAGGATCAAGTCCGCCTCCCTGCTCCTCGTGGGACTACCCAAAACTAAACCATATGACGAAGAGCGTTGTCCAGACGCTCCTTGAACTCTGACAGTGTTGGTGCCGTGGCTGCTTCCCTGGGGAGCCTGTTGCAGTGACCAACCACCCTCTCACTGAAGAAAAGGGGATAGAAGTATTCTGATCACTTAACTATTGAGAATTAACCTTTCAGATGTTGTTACCAAAATGAAAGTGTGGAAAAGCTGCATTTCTGCAATTAAATATCTCAAGTCTGTATTTAACAGCATGTTTCTTCCTGGTATGAGGTAGTCTACAATAGATTACATGTTCTTCAATTTTTATAAAATAATATAAGCATCTCTCATGGTGCCTTTTATATTTAACCCATGTGTTTTTTGGGTGTGTTTTTAGGAATTTATTGTTGGGTTAGTTTTGTTGTTCTTGTCTCAGCTGGACAGACCCATAGGAGTGACTGCAAGGACTTATATATTCTTTGTCAATTAAATTTCAATTAAATTAATAAAACTTCATCTGCTGAAATTTATTATTTCAGATTATAATAGTCTGATGTAGTTTTACTCTTAAATATATACATACACATCACAGTCTTATGTATTATGAAATTTCTTTTCTCTTTGAAAGATCATTTGAAACTCACTTGTCAAGGGTTGAGGCTGAACTGTTAAGAAGAGAAGCTCCTCCATCCTATGGACAGTTAATTGCCCAGGGTTTAATTCCACCAGTTGAAGATTTTCCTGTTTGTTCACCAAATCAGGTAAGATTCCAAAATAGCAGGCAGACCACTTAAATTTTATGGAGACTGAAATAAAGACATTTATTTATTTTTTTTATATATATATATATATAAAGACTCTCGGATCATTAGCACAGTTCTTATTTAGTTGATGAATGAATTTCTATCAAAACAACTTTTTCATTTTAAAAAAACCTGGCTTTCAGTTATAATGCTCTTGTGAAACAGAAGACAAGTCTGTCTAAGAATCCTGCTGTAATGCTGTGTTAGAGTTGGCTTTAACTTGTATTATGTGTTGCAGTTAATACAGCAAAGTTTACTGTTGGCTAATGTTGCTAAGCATGTAAGAAAAATAGTTACAAGACCATAAGAAGGGGAATTGTGGGGTTTTTTTATTTTGAACAGAACTGATTTCACTACACTTACTCTGCTATAGATTTCACTTATTCTTTCACGCATATATGTTCACAAGCAGCAGCTGTGATCCATCACAAAGGATTCTGCAGAGGAAAAGAGGAAAATAAGTTGCAATTTGCATGAGAGACTTTGGAAACATATCAGAGGACATTGTGAAGATTTTTCAGTAGCTAAATTAGCACTAAACTTACTAATGAGCTTATTAATGAATGTCTATAATGAACACTGTAGAATCCCTCGTTCTTGCTGGATGGGTTATTGTGGTTATAACAAAGATCAGTATGTTTCTGTTTAAAAACAATTCTGTACTTTTACATGTTTGGCTTTCTGTCCTCTTTTCTGAAATTAAGCTTCTCCAGTTTGTGATGCAGCTATGCTCACAAGCCTCTTGAGGTACGGTTAGCTCAAGAAAGTCTGTTAATACAGTGCAGTTGTCATGCCCATATGTGTGAGTCCTCTAGTACAGGTAACTTGGAACAAACCAGTGTTGCCTGCACATCCCTACCCTGTATGGGACACTTCAGGTTTGGTGTCCATGAACACGTTTAGGAACCATTACGATTTTCAGACAAAATTAGCTTGTTCAGATGCGTTTTTCATCATGAAACCCCACAAAGATGGCCTAAAGATCTTGTTTTTTACTAAAATGAAATCTCCTGATAGAGAGGAAATTCTGGAAAACCCAGACATGTAGTGGCTGCAGTCAGAGATTGGTACTGGAGCTTTTAAGAAGCTGTGCAATTACCGAAGTTTTCTTTTATCTTTAGTTTGACTTAAATTGAATTAACTACTGTTGCTTTGGATATATTTTAAATTATTTTTAAGAACGAAAATACAATGGAGTTTGAAAGACTTACTGAAAGTGGCAATCTTTCATAATGGACACGTAACAAAATGTACTTGCTTCATAGTCTGTCTATGTAACCATGATTTCACACTCCATAAAAATAGTGATGCATGT